TTTTCTTCATTGATTATTTTTTATTTTCTCGTTGTTATGAACATAAACTAGGATTTTGCTATATTAATTTGTCTCCAACCATATCAGTGTATTGAATGTTTTCCTATAATTCATTAGTGGAATATTTATACTACTCAAAAGATCACATATATAATAAAATGTAGCATACTTTTGAATATCCAGCATTTTCAAAACGTCAATTTCGTAAAAAATAAAGAAGTCTCGTTCCATTACAACATTAAGTATACATTTTGAAAAAATCTGATCATTGGAGTTTCAAAGTTTTCATTTTTGCCCATTGTCTTCGTTTTCAACATGTACTTATATAGAATAATATAATTTTTTGGAAACCATTTCATTTCTGACTGCATTTTATTGTTTTTTTGAAAGTGTCTTGTATATTGTGTTATTTGTATAACAGAAAATGTGGCAAAGTAGATTAATTGAAGTATTTATAAATATCATTGCAGAAAACCAATTAAAAATGTTTGCAAACCCAATAAACTTTTGGAAATAATATGTATATACTCTGAAACTCAGATTCCGACACTTGGCAAAAAAATAATATAATGCTCCCTGTTTTCACATTCTGAACTGATATGGTTAGTCAAATTTACCGGCAATTAAATTCAAGTGAATTCAAGTATAGAAAAATTGTCAAATTATCATACATACGTGACAGGTATATAGAAATCTCAGATAAAAGAAATATTTTTTTGATATTTCACTTTTTCTCTCTCCATGAAATTATTCTGATTTCATTACTCACATTTAGATATTCATTTATTTCACCCATTTTGATTCATTTTTTTTTAATACCTTTTTGAAGAATAAAGTTGTTATCTTTTCACATATTCTCATTGGCCCTCTTTGATCTGTTGAATCTTTTTTTTTCCAATTCCAGTACTACTTTATGATTAACGTTTTACTTGATATTCTTTTTGCTGTTCATTTTTTGTCACCTCTCAAAGAATAGCAGATAGTGTGATTATTTCAGTACTTAATGTGAAATGAAAATACGTCATGCATCAATTTCTATAATCATCCTTATTTAATATTTATGGCCATCACTCACCTGTAACAAAATTTTGAACAGCGGGCACAACTTTATCAAATCGCAAACACCTCAATAAAAGCAATTTCTGCAAGTCGTTCAATTTTTTGTCCCAAGGCGCAGGTAGCGGACAATCTTGAGGTTCTCCTGAATCGAATATTTTCTTCCACTCCTTCACGTGACTTGTGAAATGTTTAATAATACCTCTATAAAAAAACATATTTCCAATTATGTGACTGTTTGAAAAAAACTATTTGTGTAAAAAATTAAACATGTTATAAATGATACTTGTGATGCACTGTTCGTAACCTTTGGTGTAGTAATGAATATTACTGGAGTTTTTTCCCAACACCAAAACGTTATTTTAACACCTCGACAAGTGTTTCGATCACCAAGTGATCATCTTCAAAGGAAAGATCATATTCCTCTTGAATTCATAATAGTAGAAGAGCAGAATTGAAAACGACCTTCATCCACCTGTTTAATAGACAAAAGGTATTTTACAAGAAGTTTAGTATTCAAGTAACAGTTTATCGTGAGATTTTCACAGATTTCAACACCGCAACACATGTTTTTATATGGGAATGCTGGAGGAAGCTATTGTACAACGAAACACACGTGGTACGAGTTTGTAAATTGTTCAGTAAAAACACCACAATGAAGTGTTACTTGAATCCGTTATGAATTTTCAAGTATCTGCCATTTCCATCACATATGGAATTTAGTATGTTAGAAAATAAAACCCACATGGGTTATGATCAATTGAACATCAAAAAATCACTTTTTTTACACATTACACTAATTTGTTAATTGAACAAACGGAAGTATGAAACCTATAAAATATATAAACGTTCGATTGGCTATTTTTTTCTTGGTGAAACTATTCAGTTATCAGGTATAAACTGGCAACTCACACTCATCTGTTCAATAAATAAATCTAGCAAAAATATGAGGCTGTTCGCGAAAAATTTGGCCTGAATAACAATTAGCGAGCTTTAAAAGCTGAATTTTGATGCGAAGGAAAACGTTTGGCACAAAGAGGTGAGTGTGAAGTGTGAATTACTTGTACGCTGTCAGTTCATAAAATAAGGTGAATTTTCATTTTTCTAAAAAATTAAGTCGGTGTTGACGTCATTTAACTATTCATAAGCGATACTTATGCGACGGTTTTTTGATAAAAACTAAACATGCAAAGCAGCAGAAACTGTGAAGATATGTTTGAAATAAATGTACCCAGTGGCGGCGCAAGATCTGCATTTAATGTGGGCAAGGTACATTTCGCGAGGCCCTCTGGTGATGCAAGAAGAAGGGTTTATAAAAAAATAGAATAAGACAATTTTTTATTCATTAAGAAACACCAAAACTTCTACTTGTGTACTTTTTTGGAACATCAAACAACAAAATTGAAAATAAAAAAATCGACTGAAAAGTGATAAAAAAATAATGTCTGGGTCGCCGTATTAAAACCGCAGTGAAAGTCTCTGAAACTGTTATTTACCCACTTTAATTAAAAAAACAAATTTTTCATTCATATGCTTTCGTGCGCCGAAGAGTTAAATACCTTTAGGTTGAGAATTTTCTAATGTATTATCTATAAAAAACCATGACGTGTACTTTTGAATTTTCCATACTTTATTAAAATCATTTTCGGCTTTGAGGCGCGAGGCCCTTTGCACCGCGAGGCCGTGGGCGGTGACCCACACAGCCCATGCCTTACGCCGCCTCTGAGTGTACCGACATAAAAAAATTAAAAAATCGCTTCGAATGTACGTAGTCCGTGAATTTTTGAACATATACCCCATTTTTTTTAACAGCCCACGTATACTAGTTCATATTTTATTCAACGATAGTTATGTCGGGAAAAAAAGCCAACACAACGTTTGTATATTCTATACTATGTATGCTTTCGATTGGAATAAAATGTTATAAATGAACAAATAACTATAATAATTTTTAACGATCGAGCAGATGGGTGAAGATAGTTTCTTATTCGGATATTAGACTAGAAATATATCTTAATAAATGAAACACAATTACAAAGATATGTTCAATCATGTCAAACAGCAACAAAGAAAAGGATTACTTGAAGGCCGGTAAGTCGTCCAGTCGACAGATTTCATCCCAGGACTTTGAAACGAGCCAATCTGCCGGATTGACATTGGGATTATCTAATCCGACGCCGCCTGTCAACAAAAACATCCATTCCGCCATGTTGATTTCGTTTCTACTCTTCATCAGGTTTATCGTTAGCAACAGCGAATACAACAGCTTATCCTGGAACAAAAATTCAATTTGTTGGATTTCTGATTGACTTCGATCGATAAACTATTTATTCCCCAGGAAACATACAGTTTGTTTATAGGAGGAAAATTTAAAGTCAAAAATAACATGAACAGTACCAAAAAAGTTACAAATGAATAAATATTTCAGACAGAAAATTAAAAAACATGAATATCAGTAATGAGTTCAGAACTTTTACCAGTAGTTAAAAATACTTTCAGCAACATATGTTTTGTCAACTTAATTTTAAATTTCATAATAGTTGTATAACTGTGAATAGCTTCTAATCGTTGGCATACATATAAAATTTGTAATGGTTGAAACAGTGATTGATGTCATTATTCAAAATCAAAAACAATAGTGGCCCCAATTGGGAGCCATAAGGGACACCTGAGGGTACATAAGATTCATAGAGTGGGGCAAACCGTGGGGCAAACCGCGGACACGTGTTTCTGGCTATTGGCCTCATCAGCGCGGTGCAGCCAAGTGTGAAGATGGGCAACACTTGTTTGCCGAAAGCAGCGGTTTGCCCCCCTGTTTGGAGTGTTGT